AAGGGGCCAAGAAAGCCATCAGGTCAAACCTCTGCTCAGAATAAATTATGGTCCTTCCAAAGTGCTGTTTTGGCATCTGTGGAAAGGGAGTAACTGGTGAGATGACAGAATATGAACAGCATGGAATTTTTTTGCTCCTTTTCCCAAGGAGCTCTATAGCTGATCAAGGCAGCCTATGATAAAATCTCCCATGTTTGGATAATATGACAACCCATCATGAGCAGGAACAACCCTACAAGTCATGGGTTCTCTGAATAGCTTGTCCTCAGAAAATAGGCCACCCTTCTAAAACATTCTGGGTTTGAATGACATAACATGGTTTAATGGCCACAGTGGGTTGCAGTGTCATGTAAACCCATTCATTGGGTAGGTTCACTTCTCACACTAAGTCACCCTGTGAATAAGCCAGCATGGGTTGTTTGTTTGGTGAAGAATCATGGTAATCCTGACAGACAACAGGATTTGCCATGGCTTGGGTTTTCTCCCTCATTCTTCTTCAGTCCTCCTGCTGTTTCTGGCATGTGTCCTAGGCACCTTTGTGGTAGAACTCCTTATTGCTTGTTCCTAACAATAACAGAACAATAATGATGTAGTAATAATGATAGTAATAGTAGTAGTAGTAGCAGCAGCAGCAGCAGCAGTAGTAGTAATTATTTTTAAAAGCCAGAAAGTAAAAGGGGTAACAGAGTGCGGAGGAGGCCAGGCTGAGGAGACAAGATAGATTCTGTTGCAAAGTCTCCTGGGATATATATGAGAGTCAGCTGGAGAACTGAGAAGTAAGGAAGGGAAGAAGCAGCCATGACAAGCTCAATAGTCTGTCAAGCATAGCATGGGCTGTTCACCAAATAAAGAAACCGCTGTGGTTTATTCACAAGGTGGCTTACTGTGACATGCAAACCTACCCAACATTTCTGTAGGACTGCTCTTAGTATAAAGTTAATTTGTTAACCTGCAGCACAAATAGGTCCCTAGTAAGTTCCTTAAAGAGGAAAACTAGGAATCAAAGGGCTTTGTAAAACTAATCTCTTACTGATTCTGAGACCAAGAGATGCCATGCATAATTTGTCCTCTTTCAACAGTTTACTGAACAGGCTGGCTGAAGAGTTCCTACTCAGTTCCATAGCTCTTTCAAAACCTTATATGCCAACATAAGACTGCAAAGTGGGATGTGAAAATTCCACATCAGATGACACAAGTGTTACCAAAGCTTCACCCCCTCCCCCTGACTGCCTAGCTAGTCATTTTCTCATCCCACAGGGATAGAGATGAACTTTCACCTCTCTGTGGCTCTGGGAAAAAAGCCATCATTTCCTGTTACTGAAATTAATGCACTAAATAGATGCACTGTTCACAGAAGCTGGACAAAAATAAGACAGAGCACATAATGTCTTGGCATGGGGCCTAGCCCATTCCCTGGACATCCAGTAGGTCATTTGTAGCTCCCAAACATGGAAATCCTGCCAGATTCATGCAGGATCTGTCTTTTTTTCCTTCTAGCTAAAGGGAAAATGGTCAGGGCCAGACTTGGACAACCGCCTAGGAAGGCGACATATAGATGAATGAATGGGAATAGAACTCAACCAAACTCAAACCAATCTGACAATATGTATCATCTATGTAAGTAGCAAGTGCATAATAATAAAGGATTACAGTAGACACCTCTTAAATCCAGAAACTTTGATTTGAAACTTCACTATTAGATATTATTTTCATCCAAAGCTGGGAACAACCTTTGCACACAGCCTCTGAATGTATTATACTGAGGTCACAACATTTATGGACCCATTTGGGAAACTGCTGAATCCTAATCAAGTAATTGCTACTTCATGCCTGCCTCTTCTGTAGATACACGTTATTCAGCAGAAACTTTTGTTTCATCTCTGTAGGACACCACAACTCTCTTTAATAAGGGACTCCCTGATTTAGCTAAATGCTGGAAGTTCAAACCCACTAATGCTTCTTTTAAACATATGCATTAACAATGTCCAGTAGTGGGTACATATTTTCATATGTGGTGGGAATGTGAATATAAAACAAAGTTTTGGAAAGAGGTTTTTAAAGAGAATAGTAAAATAGTAAGTTTAAATATAAAAATTTGCATTGAGATTGCATTACTTTCCATATTTGACAAGAAACAATGGAGTTGGAATAATAAGGAATTAATAGCATTTAATGACTACTGCGAGATTAATTACAGCTAAGCACTGGAAAGTAAAATGTGATTACCAGTGGTGTTATTGGTATGCAGAAATTTGGAACACAGCTATTAATGATAAATTAATTTGTGATATTAAAGTGAGAAAAAGGCATATAAAGAAAAATAAGTTTAATGAGATTAGGGAAACATTTAAGGAGAATGTGCTAAAAAGGGGGTGGGGGATTTAAAC